AATGATGTAATGCAACTGAAAATTCAACACCACAGAAGGATTCAAACGCAGATATCCAGGAGCGCTATGCACCTTGTTGTACCTGGTACCTTAACCACTAGACCATACGACTGTACAAAAATCTTGGTAGTCGTGAGACTATTTTATCCAAGATACGACAGCGCTCGATGGTCAACTTGGGCATAGTTGACCATTGGGGACCAGTCAAACTTGCCTGTATTTTTGTTGCTCACGTGGCACTACATCGTGAGGGGATTCGAAGAAATATCTGTCAGAGTTGACCATCGAGTGCTGTCGGATCTTGGATAAAATAGTCGTTCGACTACCTAAATTTTTGTACAGTTGTATGGTATAGTGGTTAAGAAACCAGGTACGCCAAGGTGCATAGCGCTCCTGGTTATCTGGGTTCAAATCCTTCTGGGCTGAAAAAAACATTACAATTTTGTAACTCTCAGATTAAGATGTCTCATTACCCAGAGACACTTCCCAAACAATTTGTATTTTTTAATTGTTGATTAAATGGTGCACTTTTATATCAGCATAGTTATCTATATTCTATATAAATAAAAATGGAAACGTTCATTTGTTCAAAATCGCTAATCTCCGAAAGTTCTTCACCGATTGCTTTGAAATTTTCACACAACGTTCCCTTTGTATCCGAGCGGGTTTTAATATACATACTATACAGATGTCTTATCTGTGACGGGGGAAAAAAACATGCTTTTTTGAAAAACTGTGTTTTTTGGGTGTTTTTCATGTGAGGGAAATATTCGAAACCTCTTTACTGATTGCTTTGAAATCTTGACACAACATTGCATTCAAATAGGCGAGTATTTTTAAGTACCTAGTATATACATGCCTCACCTGTAACAGGAAAATACATTCTTTTTTGTTTAAAAAAAAACAGCGCCATCTGTAGGAACTGAGAGCAACACACGCTGTAATCTCCGAAAGTTCCTCACCGTTTGCTTTGAAATTTTTACACAACGTGCCATTCGAATACATGCATATTGTTATATACCTACTATTCAGATGCCACACCTGTGACAGGTAAAAACATGCGTTTTTGGAAAAACAGCACCATCTGTTGCATGTAGGAGCAACACACGATATACAAAATATGTTACGATTCCATTTCAATATTTCCGATTGCATTCACAAATTGAATTTTCATAGATTTTTATTCATTTTCATTTTGATTTAATTATTTTGTGTGACGTTGCATTGGAATTGAGCTGTGTTGTTTACCATAGCGTTCATTTCTTGGGTATAGCTTATTTGTTTCTTTTTTCATTTTTTCATTTCGTTTTTTTAACTGTTCTTATTTTTCAATGCAATTGGTGGTGAAATTGAGCTGTGTCGATTTATCTGCATTTGAATTGAAATATTTTGTTTTTATCTTTTATTTTTTATTTGAAAACAAGAAAATGGACAAAACGTTTATTTCACAGCTGCAAATGTACAACAAACAGCTATGAATCTACCGGCTATAACGTTAACTGCTTTTTTCACGTTATGTCAAAATGACGCGTTTGCGAAAACACTGCTGGTTTCGGAAGTGCCTACGGGGTAGCGAACCCCTGCAGGAGCTTCTTGCAACTAGCTATTTACACTCCTCCGTAGCACCTTACTGTCAGTTGTCTCTTCTGCTAGCCAGTCCCGGATACGCCGAATTCTGTCACTGTCACTTCACAGGCAGACAGTAGACACAACACAGTTCGTCTTCGGCGGTGGCTCACTGCTCACGTAAAGCAGAATGGAGTAGAGAGATATAGGCTGCACTGGGAAGACTGACTGTCTTCGTACCACTCAGCGTTACGTCACCTCTGTGGATACAGACACGTCATCAGTAAACTGGTCAGTACTTGGGACACTAGAAAATACCACTTACAGAATCTGACATAAACATACAACTCCTCCTACAGTAGATGGCACTGATTTTCCAGGCGCCACCTCACCAGAGGTCAGCACCAGCTACCTCTCGAGCTGACCAGGGCCGGAATCTAGCGCCTCTTGCAGGCATCATCCTGCCACCACCAGATGGCGTCGTCCATTTTGTGGGGGTTTCGGGAGCGGACTCACAGATGGCATTGACGTCGCTGCTCCAGGCTCCGACGATGGAGTCGGGTTCGTAACAGCATGCTGATGGGAAATGTGCCCAGTCCAACGTCTTTCCAGCCACTGAGATTTGTCAACAGCGTAACACATGCCACTTTCCGTAGTTCATGTCAAGTTCGGAATTTATTGGAGAACGACCGACACCAGGATGTATGCATTAATGACGCGTCCAACACGTCACATCCAAATTAAATTTATGCATTGTTTGCAGTCATATTGACTGCCTGCTCTCCTTCATATCCAAAAGAGTTATGGAAGAAATAAAATCGTTCATGGCTGAAGATATTATCTGTCGAATATGAAGGGAAATTCATATATGAATATGGATTTCACAGCAGAAATCTACAACGTAATGTTGATAATGATTGAAGATTTGTGGTTAGAATTTGTGAAAAAAGTTCTAAATGAATTGGAAATGCCATCACCGAATCGATCTGCTGCTGCTTCGTTCGATGAAGAATTGCGTCGTGAACAAAATTACAACATGAGTGTTCTGTTGTCGTATGTGCAAACAAATATTCCAAGCTATCGCTTGAGCGAAAAGGTATTTGCAATCAAATAATTCAAACTGTCAATAACAGGTTTGGCAAAATCTTCTTAGATTCACCAGGTATTTCGATCCAAAAATGGCATAACCTTAGCTCTTGCATAGTCCAGAATAGCTGCGACATTGTTACCAGGTGGAAGAACTGTTACTTCGGCTTTGAAATTGCCATTGAACATGTAATTCATTGAAACTCCCACGTGCAACATTTCCAAAGCATCCAGCGTGAGAAAAGTATTGCAGAAATGTAAACTTATCGTTTGAGGTGAATGCACAATGGCCCACAAAAAATCGATCGAGGCTCTTGATTAATCACTGCAAGATTTGCATGGAAACATCAGACCATTTGGGAACCCAATAATATTGCTTGCAGGAGATTTCAGGCAAACATTTCCTGTAATTCCTCGATACAAGTCCGTCGACACTGATGAGAAAGCAGATGAAAGGGTTAGTTATCCAACAGAATTTTTGAATTCACTCGATCTGCCAGGGATACCATCACACGGACGGCAATTGAAAATCTGCATGCCAATTATCATGTTGCGAAATATCTATCAGCTAATGCTTTGCAATGCCATGCACCTTGCCATAAACAAATTAATCAGCAACGTCGTAGAAGCAACAATCTTGACAGGACCTTTCAAAGGTGAAGATGTCCTCATTCCTCCCATTACTATGATTCCAACAGATATGCCATTTCAATTTAAGATATTGTAATTTCCAATTCGATTGGCGTTTGCAATCACCATCAACAAAGCTCAAGGCCATTCTTTAGAATTGTGCAGTTTATATATCTAGACATGGAATGCTTCTCATAGGAACAATTTTATGTTTCGTGTTCTAGAGTCGGCAAACCAGACAATCTCTATATCTCAACAGACAATGGAACAACAAAACATATTGTATAGCCACAAGCATTGTGAAATTAAACATATTTGAAACGTGCACTTTCTCTTTTCTTTCTTTTCCATTTAACCAGACTGAGCCACAACAATGCGTGGCGGGTACAGCTAGTATAAGAATAGACAGAGACATGTTTTTCTTTAGAAAACGGTGACTGGGTCCTTCTCGGATTGCAACTTCACATCCATCAACACAACTCCTAAAGCAGTGATTAACATCGCCAAAACTATTAAAGATAGCTCGATTAATTTCATTAATCAGATGTTAATCAGCATCTGATTGTTAATCAGATGTTAAAGTTTAATACAGAAACAGTGAAAAAAAGTCGAAAAATAACACTTACTATTATGAGAGAGTCATCCATTGTACTTCAGCAGCTCATTGTCGACATCTCTCTGAACATCCACTTGTTCTTCAGCATCTGCAGCTTATGTTGGTAAAAAATATTATGCTGGAAGAGTTGTGAATGTTGGTGTGGTATATATGCCACACCAGGTATATATAGACTTTGAGGGCAAACAAGACTTTGAACTTGTCCTGCTTAAGGTTTCGGGGAAGGAGGTGGGGGGGGGGGGGGGTTGGATGCGGCTTCAGCTGTATAAACATGTTAGGACAAATTGGAACATGTGTTCCAGAATGGTTGTATGATGCTCTTAACAAATTCATGGTTGGAGGAATACATTGATACACTTAACATGATTTTGGCTCTGCATTTTAGTAGACGTCCGAACATATATATTTAAGATGAGGAGCAGTATTTAAAATGGTCTTTTCAACATTTCTAATTTTAAGCGATGGAAATGCTTCTGCCTGACCGTTCATAAAAGTTTGAACCATAAACATTACGGGAATATTATTCTACCATTTCAAAATATCCTGAAAATAAAAGTTTCAAACCATGTCTTGAGAAGTTATGACACTATAATTAAAATTTTTTGGAAGACTTGTAATTCCCTTATCTTGCCTAAAAGTTCCATATAAATTTGTGTAAAAATATCATAACGATGAATATAATACAGCGTTTAAAACAACATTAACAAAACGATGGAAAAGTTTCCAATATGTGTCAAATTCAAATCAATTCGTACTCGTGTACAAAACCTTGTTTAATGCAATTAAAGTTAAGTTATCCAAATCGACATAGATTTTCAGCCCGTAAAGCCATCATAGTCTTGCACGCATTACCTCGCAGACTCCCAGGCAAGCAGACTCGCAGTGACACAGACTAAAAGTAAAGCAGATTTGTAGATTTACCTGAATTTACCTGACGACTAATGACACAAGGAACCTCGACGAGGATAGTAAACCGGCGGCATGTCAAAATACACCTACTGATACACAGTCAAGCAAACTCCTAGATTGAAACATATATACATGAGCGTAGACTCACATTCACACAGGGGTCTTTCAGTCAAGTGGACAGAGCTTAAATGTCGTAGTCCTAAGGGCCCGGGTTCGATTCCCGGCAGAGGCAGAAACAATTGAGCTGAGTTTCTTTCACTTGATGCATCTGTTCACCTAGCAGTAAATAGGTACCTGGGAGCGTGACAGCTGCTACGAACTGCCTCCTGTGGATGTGTTTGTGTACTCACCTAGTTGTACTTCCAGGTGTTGAGCTCTAGGTCCTTGGTCCCGACTCTCAACCGTCAATCTACTGGTGTACAGATTCCTGAGCTTCTCGAGCTCCATCATATCTACATATAAAACTGCGTATGGAGTCAGCTTCCTCCTCATCACTTCTTAGTGCATTCCATTTACTAACTTCTTTGACACTGAAAAACTATTTTCTAATGTTTCTGTGGCTCATTTGAATACTCAGCTTCTACCTGTGTTCCCTTGTGAGTGTACCAACCGTGTTAAATAATCCATCCTTGTCAACCTTGTCAATTCCCCTAAGAATTTTGTATGTGGTGATCATGTCTCCCCGAGCTCTTCTATCTTCCAGCGACGTGAGGTGCAGTTCACTTAGTCTTTCCTCGTAACTCCTACCACTTAGTTCTGGAACAAGCCTAATAGCATATCTCTGAACTTTTTCCAGTTTCGTCTAATGCTCGACATGATACGGGCTCCATGCTTGGACCGCATACTCATGGATTGGTTTTATATTAGGTGGTATACAAGGTTCTGAAAGAGTCCTTACACAGGTTTCTGAAGGCAGTTCTGATGTTAGCCAGCCTCGCAAACGCCGCTGATGAAATTCTTTTGATGTGGGCTTCAGGAGACAGGTTTGGGGGTGATATGAATTCCTAGATCTTTCTCTCTGTCCGTTTCGTGTAGGACTTCATCTCCCATTCGGCCTTCAGTGTCTGGCCTCCTATTTCCTCCGACTAGTTGCACCTTACTTTACATTTATTTTGGTTAAACTTTAGAAGCCATTTGTTCAATCATTCCTTCTGTTTGTCTAGGTCATCTTGTAGCCTCATACTAACTTCCTCTGTTTTCATCCTCCTCATAATTTTTGCATCATCAGCAAACATTGAGAGGAACGAGTCAATTCCTTCTGGGAGATCATTTATGCATATCAGAAACAGTATAGGTTCAAGGACTGAGACGCCACTGGTGGCGCCTCGCCACTCCGAGGCATCGCCCCTCACAGTTACTCGCTGTCTTCTGTTGATTAGGTACTCCCTTATCCAGTTGAGTACCTTCCTTTTCACTCCTATCTTCATTTCCAGCTTTTGTACTTTTCTTTTATGCGTTTCTCTGTTAAAGGCTTTCTAGCAATCCAAAAATATGTAGTCTGCCCGGCCCTCTCTCTCTTACTTCATTTAACTTACAGTCTCCGTGGTGTAGTGGTAAGACACTCGCCTGGCGTTCCGCGAGCGCTATGTCATGGGTTCGTATCCTGGCCGGGGAGGATTTACTGGGCACAATTCCTTAACTGTAGCCTCTGTTTAACGCAACAGTAAAATGTGTACTTGGATGAAAAAACGATTCTTCGCGGCGGGGAATCGTATTCCAGGGACTTGCCCGAAACGCTACGCGTACTAGTGGCTGTACAAGAATGTAACAACTCTTGTATATATCTCAAAAAAAAAAAAAAAAAAAAAAAAAAAAAAAAAAAAAAAAAAAAAAAAAAAAAAAAAAAAAAAAAAAAAAAAAAAAAACTTTTTGCCTGGTCTTTGAATTCATTTAATCCTGTGAGGCAGGATTTGACATCCCTGAACCCATGTTGATATTGTGTTGCAAAGTTCTTTCACTCCAGACTTTAAGAGACATGATAGACTATGCCACCCAAAAACGTCAAGATTAAACAGGTTTAATCAGGTAAACAGGTTTATCCCGGGCCAAAAGGAAAAATCCGAGGAGTAAAAGAAGAATCGATGGTTAATAGGGCATATACCGAAGCAAAGAAACTGAACAAAAGGTCATGGAGGAACTTTCGAAATAACAGAACACCAGAAAGCAGTGAGAGATACCAGAGAACCAGGAATGAGTATGTTAGTGTGAAAAGCACGCAGAGAATAACAATGAAAATAATATAGCAAGCAAAGCCAAGACCGAACCAAAGCTACTCTATAGTCACATCAGGAGGAAAACAACAGTGAAAGAACAGGCAATGAATCTTAGAACAGGCGAGGACAGGTATACAGAGAATGACAAAGAGGTGTGTAAATAACTCAACAAGAGGTTCCAGGAGGTCTTCACAATAGACCAAGGTGAGGTCACTGTGTTAGGAGAAGGGCCAGTAAACCATGCGGCCTTGGAAAAGTTCAAAATTACGAGAAATAAGGTCAAGAGACACCTGTTGGATCAAGATGTGAGAAAGACTGTTGGTACAGATGGGATCTCACTATGGGTATTGAAAGAGTGTGCAGAGGCACTTTGCTTGCCACACACTATAGTGTAAAGTAGGTCACTGGAGACAGAAGACCTACCAGAAATATTGAAGACGGCTAATGTAGTCCCATTATACAAAAAGAGTGACAGACATGAGGCACTGAACTACAGGCCAGTGTCCTTAACTTGTATACCATGCAAGGTGATTGAGAAGATCGTGAGAAAAATCTAGTAACACATCTGGAAAGAAGGGATTTCGTGACAAATCGCCAACATGGGTTCTGGGAGGGTAAATCTTGCCTGAATTTGCTTAATAGAATTCTACGACTAGGTGACAAAGATTAAGCAAGAAAGAGAAGGCTGGGCGGACTGAATTTTCTTGGATTGTAGGAAAGCCTTTGACACAGTACCGCATAAGAAGCTGGTACATAAGCTGGAGAGATAGGCAGAAGTAACTGGTAAAGTGCTCTATTGGATAAGGGAATACCCAAGCAAAGAGTTACAGCGAGGGTGTGAGACCTCGGGTTGGCGTGAAGTCACCAGTGGAGTTCCATAGGGCTCTTTACTCGGTCCTATCCTGTTTGTGATATTCGTAAATGATCTCCCGGAGGGTATAGACTCTTTCCTCTCAATGTTTGCTGACGATGCCAAAATTATGAGAAGAATTAAGACAGAGGAGGGACTGCTTGAGGCTTCAAGAAGACCTAGACAAACTGAAGGAATAGTCGAACAAATGGTTGTTAGAGTTTAACCCAAGCAAATGTAATGTAATGAAGATAGGAGTATGGAGCAGGAGGCCAGTTACAAGGTATCATTTGGGAGATGAAATTCTTCAAGAGTCAGAGAGAGAGAAGGACTTGGGGGTTGATATCACGCCAGACCTGTCCCCTGAAGCCCATATCAAGAGGATAACATCAGCAGCATATGCCAAGTTGGATAAAACAGGAACGGCATTTAAACACTTGTGTAAGGAATCATTTATAACTTTGTATAACACCTATGTCAGACCAATCCTGGAGTATGCAGCGTCAGCATGGAGTTCATATCTAGTCAGGCATAAGACTAAACTGGAAAAGGTTCAAAGGTTTGCCACCAGACTAATACCTGGGCTAAGAGGTATGAGCTACGAGGAGAGACTACGGGAATTAAACCTCACGTCGCTGGAAGACAGAAGAGTTAGGGAGGACATGATCACTGTTATGGCCCTTGACCCTGGGTATGGTTCCTCTGCTTTTGCAGTTATAGAAAATATATAATAATACGGCCTTGCCTACTAAAAGTGTCTAGGGTAAATAATTCAACTGCTTACTCAACAAAGCAATATACTTAAAGTAAGGGTAACAAAGAACATACAAACATATAAATGAAAAATACAGGCAGCCAGAAATATTATTGCATCCGAATAAAATAACACAATATCATTATATAAGCTCTGATCCTTATTTTAAAACATAAATGGATAGATGGGTATGTAAATACTGGTCTAAGAGGGCACTTAGCTATGTTACTAAACAATAAACAGGTACCGAAGACTTATCTCAACAACATGTCCACTCCGGCCAGCTCCACCCACGCGACGTGCTCCGCATGCAGGCATGGAGTCTACAGGTTACCAATTAAAAAACACATGAAACCTCTAGATACTCTGCAATCAGAGAGTAATACTTAAGAACATAATTATAACTAAACTAATATGCATATAACACTGCTAAGGTGTAATTAAGAAATTTATTGTTAGTGTGAGTGGTGACAAATGTGCAATAGTGTGGTGTGCACATGTTACCTAACAGTAAATAGGAACCCGGGAGTTAGATTGCTGTTACTCACCTAGTTGTACTCACCTAGTTGTGTCTGCAGGATCGAGCATTGACTCTTGGATCCCGCCTTTCGAGCATCGGTTGTTTACAGCAATGACTCCTGTCCTATTTCCCTATCATACCTGGTTTTAAAATTATGAATAGTATTTGCTTCCACAACCTGTTCCTGAAGTGCATTCCATTTCCCCACTACTCTCACGCTAAAAGAAAACTTCCTAACATCTCTGTGACTCATCTGAGTTTCAAGCTTCCATCCATGTCCTCTCGTTCTGTTACTATTCCGTGTGAACATTTCGTCTATGTCCACTCTGTCAATTCCTCTGAGTATCTTATACGTTCCTATCATGTCCCCCTCTCCCTTCTTCTTTCTAGTGTCGTAAGGCACAGTTCCCTCAGGCGCTCTTCATACCCCATCCCTCGTAGCTCTGGGACGAGTCTCGTTGCAAACCTCTGAACCTTTTCCAGTTTCATTATATGCTTCTTCAGATGGGGACTCCATGATGAGGCGGCATACTCTAAGACTGGCCTTACGTAGGCAGTGTAAAGCGCCCTAAATGCCTCCTTACTTAGGTTTCTGAATGATGTTCTAACTTTTGCCAGTGTAGAGTACGCTGCTGTCGTTATCCTATTAATATGTGCCTCAGGAGATAGATTAGGTGTTACGTCCACCCCAGGTCTCTTTCACGCGTCGTTACAGGTAGGCTGTTCCCCTTCATTGTGTACTGTCCCTTTGGTCTCCTATCTCCTAGTCCCATTTCCATAACTTTACATTTGCTCGTGTTGAATTCTAGTAGCCATTTCTCTGACCATCTCTGCAATCTGTTCAGGTCCTCTTGGA